CTGTGATTTTGAGAGAAAGAGCAGTCGACGATGGCAGAGGAAACAAGAACTCCGGCGAACAGATCAGGAAAGGCGTATTCTGGGTCAAAAATCGAAATGGCAAAACGATGGAAACCAGAGAAGAACCCCCTTTATATAGGGGGAAATTGTCATCATTGGGCGGGAGAACCAAAACAGCGCATTTAATGCGCACGACGTCCCAAGCCGGGGAAAGCTGCTCGAGGCCATAATGAAGGACGGATGGCAGTTGGAAAACCCTTCGTCTCCTTACAACGCGTGTCCTCGGTGTCAGAAGATCGAAGGCTGGGGGGCAGTTGATGGGACTCTTCTGAAAAGCCCTAAGATGAAGACACGTGTCCTCGGGTTTTTTGGAAACAGTGTTGCCCGGATGTAAGCACCATCGGCGAAGAGCGTCCTTTACCCCGAGGTACCTCTCATATAGGATCACGCATTCGGTGTATTATACAACAACACGTGTCCTCGGTCACCGTGTACCTCGGAAACATACCACCCTCGGTCCCCGAGGTGAGCCTTTCCTCGGTGCCGAGGGTCACTCCATCCTGAACGCTTCCTCTACTCCCAGATAAAGCTACTGACGTACGGGACATCAGCCTATGCCAGTCTAGACTATTCATCATGACCTCGTCTTACACAAGTAATGTCAGAACATGCTGGAATACAGAAGTCATAGCCAATACGTGATGGACGCGTGGCATATGATATCACATCAAAAACAGACAAACCGCATGCTGTTGCTGACACGCGCTTTGGAAAGCAAACAATTAATTGCACCCTTCTGTTGACGAGACCGCATTCAATGCGGTAAGGTTCGGATATGAAAGGCAATAAATGCTCCTGTTACAGAGCATTTATTGCATCCTTCCCGAAAGGAGCATATTGTACCGTCGGCGTCCCGACGACTCAGCATTGATTGCTCGGGACCCCGAGCAGTCAATTAGAGAAGACATTTCTCATCAAATCAATACACACGCTACCTGTGCCTGATGATCACCTACTGACCACACTGACAGCAATCATGAGCTTCTAAGGTATAAATACTCCTCCCAAAAGGCAAAGCGGGTATGCAATCACAATCTCTCTACTACAATACAGACTTCCTCAGTGTTTTCTTCTTCCTCTCTCTCATTCAAAGACTGACTAGACCGTCGGAGGGGATACGCCGGAAAACACTCCGGCACCCTTCTAACTTGTTCCTCTTTATTCCAGGAAAGCCTTTCACACATACAGGATCGTTCTTCCTTTCCCAGGATCTTCCTTTGCCGTTCCAGGTTGCCACCGTACCTTGCAGACTGTGTCAAGCAGCGTGTTTGGCCACTCAACCGGCTCACTCAAAGTTCACCAGGGGAGAGATCTGTTCCCGTTTTTTATATTGTGCAGGATCTTGCACGCACAGAATCCTAAGTCTGATTATTTTTTGGAACCTTCTCCACTTTTTCCTCAGTATCATCTACATTGCAGGCAATGTGAGGCCACCATGGATCCTAACAGTCGGTCACCTTTCCATATCAACATCATCGTTTCACTTACCCTCATTTCTAATATGTTCTTTAACTACCCGAAAATCCTACAACATACAGTAACTTGACATTATAGCTGTTCTAAAGAATTTTTGCTCGGAACTGGCACGGATTCTATGATCACACAACATTCCTCCGACACATTCCAATTCATTCACTTTGCTCCATCTATAGGGGGGTAGGTTTCTACTCGTTTGATACATAAGAACTATATCATCAGCAAATGATGGACACCATATAGGATCCTATGCCAACCAATAGAGAGTGCAGGGCGGGTTTTGTCTGAAGAGTGTGACACAGGGCAGTCCTCCAGCATAAGTTGGGCTGCTGGCACTCCTCTCACCCATGTTTTGGTTGGTCGATTTGATTTCTACTTTTCTGTTATTGCTGATTGGGGATAGAATTGAGGAAAAGAGTAATGGCCAGAATCGCAGACAGACGCCAGATTTGATGGCGGTGAAATCATCTCTCAACTATGATGTAGACAGTCCCATAAATACAGTGACATTGCTGTCATCAAGTAGTGGAAACAGAGCCATGGTATGGTGTTTTGAACTCTTTCATGAATGAAGGCAATGATAAAATGAAGAGATTTTTGTTTTTATGTCTTAAAAGGAAAGAAAAACAATTCAAAGCTTTGATATATCCAAATATTACTCAGAAATCTTCCCCATTTTTCTCACTATGAGTTTTGAATATCCATCTTGGCAAAACTAAGTAGTGAGTCAATGTAAACAAAAATTAGCTTGAGCACTTTAACTAGTAAACAAGATTAACACTCAAGCTCTATCCCCACATACAATTCATCGCATTAGTCGGCATTACCTCCTGATTTCTTGGGTTTAACTGATTACGAATTTTTCTTCGATCAAAACTGCATGATCGTAGTTGCCCTCCTCCCCCCTCTTGGAACATTATACATTAACGTGTCTATAGTTTGACCCAATAACACATTGTATCTTTATACCTTATAAACTTACATATAAATCTTTACAATTTTGAACTAAACTGAAACAACTTGAAATAATATTAAAGTAGCACCTCATCAAAAACAACTTTTTATACATTACACATACTATATTCCTTACGTTTTCTATCTTTAAAAAAAAACAATCGTTTTCTCTCTTTTTCTATGTATTGTATATATTTCTCAACTTGTACAAAATTTCAAAAAGAAAAAAAAAATGGCCAAAAAATAAAAAAAAAGACAAATGAAATTATTGTCTTTTTTTACTAAATTGTTAATGCCTTTAGATGTTGCACTTTAAGCCTAAACAAGGGGCAATTATATGTAGGTTTTAGAGTATAGAAAAGTGAAGTGTTATTAGATGAAACCACCCGGAATATTTGGTCCCAGAAATTTCAAAATTACCACTTTAAATTAGTGGGAGAATTACGTTTAGACTCTTTAAGGTTTATTACTTAATTACTGAGATTCATTGACATTTAAAATATTACACACAAACCCCTTAAAATTTGTACGCGTGTAACACTTAGACTTTTACTATCAATGTCGTTAGCGTATCCGTTAGTAAATTACATCCAAACTCCGTAAAGTTTGTAAGCGTGCAATATTTAAACCCCTCAAGTTTAAAATGTTATATTTAGTCAAAAAAAATACTCAAATCAAAGATAAAATATCAAAATTTTTAAATTTTGCAACAAAAATTCATATTCTATTATGATATTTATTGAAATAAAATTAAAATTAAAAATATAATATTTTCTTAAAAAATCATATTTAGTATACAATTATATTATTTATTGGAATTTAATTTGGTTATTTAGAATATTTGTATACATTACAATTTGACCCTTTATTTGTTTTTTTAATTTTATTCTAATAGATAGTATAATTATATACTAATTATAATTTTTTAAGAAAAATTAGATTTTTCTTTTTTATTTTAATTCAATAAATGACCTAATAGAACATGAATTTTGGTTAAAATTCATACTCTATTATGAATGACTTAAATCCCTGGTTTGATTTTTTAGTTTTATTCCAATAGATAATATACGTGTATACTAATTATGAGTTTTTAAGAAAAAAATGGTTTTTATTTTGATTTTGTTTCAATAAATGATACAATAGAATATGAATTTGTGTTGTAAAATTTAAAATATTTATTTTTTATCTAAGTATAATATTTTAAATTTAAAGGGTCTAAATATTATATTTCTACAAACTTCAAAGGATCTGAGTGTAATTTAGTAACAAATACATTTGACAACAGAAGTTTAAGTGTTACGTACCTACAAACCTTAGTGAGTCTGTGTTTAATATTTCAAATATCAAAAAATCTGAATGATTAACTGACAAACCTTAGAAAGTATGTGTATAATTCTCCCTAAATCATTTTCTTCATATTACATCCATAAATTTTGATCTAATTGTCTTAATGTCCGACTCTTGTAAGGCTGGGAGATGTCCATGGGGCAGACTAATCCATTGCTTTAAGAAATTCGAAACATAGAAAAGTTAAGAAAAATAACTTAGAAGTCTTGAGTTAATTTTTTTTTAGTTTAATGATAAGATGGTTCGAATCAGTTTACGCATATTTCGATTAAATTTTATTCCAATTCGATCAAAGGTAAGTCATTGAAGTCGGGATTTAAATATTTATGAGAAATAAATCCTTCATAACCTAATCTCAAAATATTATCAAAATTTAGACTCCAAAAATCTAAATTTATAACCCGTTACTGTTATTATTTGAATTGTCGTCGAGGGTTGACCATCTTGATTCTGGCAAAGGGTTTGATTTATTTTTATTATTATTATTATTTATATAATAAAATAGAAGTATGTTTGAATTTTATTTCAGTCATATTTTTTTTCTTAAAACTATCACCAATCACTTACCTCACCCATCATTCATTTGTCAGATTTAAACGTCAAATCATATCACTTATTTCTATCATATATTTAATCATTTATATATTTCTTTTTTAAAAATCACATCACTTTTTTTTATCATATATTTAATTATTTAAAATTTTATTAATTTGTAGTAATATATTTTGAAAAAATTTAATATGGTGGAATCGATTTTTTGAACGCTCGAATTTTATATTTTATCGTACCTTCGTGCACGGATTATGACTAGTAATAATAAAAAAGAAAATCTCATTTGATTTCGTGGTTGGGTATTCAAATGTTTAAAAACTACTGAACCTTTTTGACCCTACACGTGGCATCCATCCGGTTGAATCTTTTCCCCCCTTATCCAATATCGGTGCAGCGGATTAAATCCAAATTAATTAATTTAATTATAGATTACAAAAATTAATAATTTACTAAAGATAGAAGATTTTCCCTCTCGTTTCCATCGCTGTTAGTCATTCAAGTACATCTCCCAAAAACAACTCTCTGATATATATAAACACTGCATATGTTCACCTCTCTCTCTTTCTCGTTCACCTCTCTCTCTCTTGTAATGTAACAGTTGCTTTATAGAAATGTCTGACCGTTTGGGTTTGGAAAACGATCTCTTTGAACTATCTCACTCATCTTCATTTGATGACATAGAGGGTGTTTTTGGTGGGCGTGATGATTTGGGGGTCCACAGCTTTGTAAAGATTGAAAAGGAGTGGTTGATCGATCCCTACCAGCTATTCATTGGGTCCATGATCAGTGAAGGCCCCTACTCCATTGTCTACGAAGGATCGTGAGTTCCATTCTTTACTATTTTTTTTTTTTTATATCTTGACAGCTTTTCTTTCTTGGCTCATTGTTCTTGGGTTTGGTTAGTCATGCAATTGAGTTTTTTTATTTGTTTGGTTCAATTTGATTGTTTGCATGTTGGGTTTGATTTTGCTTTCGTTGATGGAACCTCTTTTGTTAGAAATAATTAGTGGATTCTCTGTATTTTGGTCTCTGAGTGTCTGTTAGTCATTTTATTTTCAGGAATAATGTTCTCTGCTTTTTCGGGTTTATCTGCTTTTCCCCCCTTGAAACCTTAAGCAGTTGATTGTTTTCTGTAATGCTTTGTTTATAGGTCTGTTATCATTTGAATGAGGAACTATTGAACTCTTTATTCTTGAGCATAATGGGTAGTCTGCTAGTAAACTAGGGTCATTGTACAAATTATAGTTGACAAAGGGAAAGTACTTGGATTTTCTAGCTTGCTATGTGCATTCTAGAATTGATGATGTCCAGATAAGGAATGCATAAGAAGCATGTTTTGTACACATTTGACATTGTTTGGAACTTCTGTTTAGCATGAATTAGGTAGTTCATGGTCAAAGTAAATATTATTGTGAAGGTACGTGGGGGTGCGTATGCTGTTCCATTAATGAGCTATTATGGCGTTCTGTTCAATATAGCCACGAGCTATTATGGCGTTCTGTCCAATTTAGCCATGTGTTGTACAATACACATGCAATGAGATAAGACATTGCTTGAGTTACGTAACGGAAAAATTCTTGAGATTATGGTTATCTGGGGAAGATTACCTGTGAATACGTGTTAAGATTTTCTCCACTATAGCCTTAGTATTTCTATTAGTACTCAAAGAATTTATGCAGCTGACACAGGTAGTTGGAGTTAAAGACTATTGACTTGAGTTGAGCAGTGTAAATGAATTCAACCATGACATAGGCATACGTTTAATTTGTAAAACTACCAAAATGTTTTCTTTCATATCTAATTCAAATAGCATGCACGCCTTGTGTTGGAAATAATTTAAGGGTCTTGCTGTGTATGACAAAAGTTAAGGTAGTCTAATTTATGGGTGCAATGAAATTGTTTTCTATGAGTCATGTACTTCCAGTGGCAGAGCCACTATGAGGCCACTGGCCAGGCTGGGCAAGTGCCCCCCTGCCATTTGGTGATCCTAGCATGTGAAGGACTAGACAAATATGAGTCTTTAGAAATCGCCATGAAAAGTCTAACTTCATCCATTTCTTATTCACCTATTTCTTGAATAAGTCAAAAAATTCGTGAGTTATGAGTTATATTGCAATGATCACTCATATCACTAATTCTTGTTAGGCATGGGAATTATTTTTATCCATATATCGTTAGAAATAGGAGTTTCTGTTAAATGAATGACAATCTATAGGTGGAGTCATTGATAATGTATATTGAAAAGGAAAATCACTCATAAATTTCGCAAAATCAATTGGTCATTATCTTCGGGACATGAAATATTGTCGAGCCTTATTTGCTTAGGAGATGCAGGTGTAATGCACTAGGACACAAGAATTGTGTTTTTTATTCTTTTGTTCCATATCTTATTGAGGGTGAATGATGTTAGTTTTTGTTTTCTTTTAGGAACTTTGTTTTGATTATTGATATATTTATTATGTATGCACTTAATATACTTTCTCATTATTTTCCTCAATCGTGTATCACTATGTCCAAACCTGTAATATCTATATCAATTGGTGAAATTTATTGGCCTAGCATGAATCGATATCGTGGCTCTGCCACTGTGTACTTCTCTATTTGATTAAATTGTGTTAAATAGATTTTTTTTCAGAATTCCTCCTATTTCATGTGTTGTTTCTAGAATAAAAGATTTAGCTGAAAAAAAGGATGCATGAAACAATCTTATCGTGGCGCCAAGGCCCACCCTCCCCCGACCCGACAGAGACGGGAGCCTCGTGCACTGGGTCAATTTACCATAGTAAAGATTGATAGCTAAGGATTCCCAAAGCTGATTGTTTTGTTATCTTGGATCCATTTTCCCTTAGGGTGGGAGAAATGGAAAGCAAATTGTCCATGGAATTTTGGTTTAAGTGATATTTGCTGGTAGTTGGAGGATGGGTCTATACCTATGATTTACATGCAAAATTATAATGGGATGGTGACAATTTTGGCCAGGCCTTACAGATATGGATGATTGGCAAGAAGACAGTGACAATAGGTTTAGATTGAATGTGTCTTTAAATAATAAAGGTTTGCTATTGTTGAGCATTGTATACCAGAAATTCAGTGAGATGATTTGCAGATGTACAGTGCAATTACCAATTACACCGGCACGATTAGTGTGAATTTAGTCCAAGGCACCGTGGGTATACAGGACATGCTAAAGGAAATGTTCATGAAGCTAAGAAAAGACTATACCGCATAAACATATTTTGATGACTAAAATTCATTAGTAGAATTCTGTTTTGGGAAGGGTTATAAATTCTGTAATATTGTTTTGTATTGTAGTGATGCTTGGAGGGGGGGTCAATTAAAATCTGGCTTTGACTTTTAGAGACTTTATTGCCAATTTGTTTTGTGATCATCAAATAAATGATCTATCAAACAATTTCCAAATTTCTCTTGAAATCTGTTGCTAAAATTGTTCCTCACTTGTCTAACTTGGATAAATATGCTCATGCTGTTGCTAGCATTTGTGCAACTGCTGTTAGACATAAATTGATGTTGTTGTTATTTGCGCAAAACAAAATTTTTTATTGGTATCTTACACAAAATAGTGAGTGCAACAGTTTATGGTTGAACTATTGTTGGGAAATGACATTTTTGGAAATCATTTTAGTTTTTTATTTGTGCATTACTTTGTGATACTGCTGGAGATGCATATTTTCTTGATATTCTTATCCTTGTTTATGTTTGATTATTTTTTCAAAGGTATAAATCTGAGCCCGTCGCAATAAAAGTAATACAGCCAGACAATTCATCAGCCGTGAGTCCTGAACGCCAAGAGAAATTTGAGAGGGAGGTTACAATGCTGTCCGGAGTCAAGCATGATAACATTGTGAAGGTACACTGAGTGGCAAGTGCCTATTTAAAAGAACGTTTTAAAATAAAATGTTACACAGGTAGTTTCTTTTGGTTTCTTGGACATGTATTTGTGGGTATGCATTGAAATCTGCATCTGTGGTTGTTACATGTGCTATTTTTCCATGTTCTTCTTTTCCCAGTGATACTTGATCATTCATTTTCATTTGGGTAATGGTATCTTTTTGCACAGATTAGTTTGATCAATTATCTTAATTTCCAATATGAGGTTACTAATTCTTATATAGGAGATAGGTATCCTTTATTTTCAGATGAGGTAAGATAACAACTATCCAAATCATAAGCCAAAGCACTACTGTTAATTCTCAATAATTCTCAACTACTCTCAATTTAACGAGGACACCATTCCAAGTACTGGGGATGGGTTACTTTGCTCCTATGTACGATAACTTGAAGTTCCCTGTTATCATTTCTCATGAAAGCTTTTAGATTAATTTTGTTGTACGAGTGCACCTTGTTATATGAGCCATTTGCCCAAAAAAAATTGGAAATTTAGTTGGGTCATTTCAATTTAACTATTCATACACCTTACCTTGTCAGAATATTTCATTAATCAACCAGATAAGTTTTGTCTAGCTCTCCTGCAAGACATAGGCACAGACGCCCCAAATTCTATGGAAGGTTGTATTTATTTCCATTTAGTATCATAGATTTTTTCCCATCTGTGTAGATTTAGTGCTATCTATGGACATATACATGCTGGGATACAATATTAATACTTGCTGTGGATGCAGTACATAACTCAGTTGCTCTCTGACCACCGTATATATGCCCAGCCGAGAGCACATTAAGGCAGTTGTACCTTCAATTGTAGAAAGTGTGTATTGTATACATTGTCCCGGAAAGTAAATCTCTGGTCAGTAGTTTTGTGTCACGAATGACTTTTTCTTTTTCAATTTTAGGGTGACTTTCCGATGCAGTATGTAAATAAAAAAATATTAGCTTTGCACCTTTAGTGCTCAATCTGAATTTTTATGGCTAGACCATTGAATATTGTTTCGATGTTGATTTTACCATTTCTCAGAACTTAATAATTAATATGATGCGCACATATTGCTGATTATTGTGTCTTGGGCCTGTCCGCTAGATTTTTCAGTAGTCGATTGTTCTTTGATTTTAAATAGCCAACTGAGTAATTAAAAATGGCCTCAAGTTATAATATCGACTCCTTTTACCACTTCAGATTTCCTAGATATTGTCATTGTAATTGGTTGTACAAATGGTGAATGCGCAGCCATTGTATGTGATAATCTTAAATACTGCTTCGTTACCACCTATACCCATTTACCCAATTTGGTCAATATTTTCATTATTGGCCCCTTGTTTGTTTTTGAGATATTAATCGCGGGAAAACCAGTTGAACTTTATTGCTGAAAATAAAATATGGCTAGCTACAAATCATGGTTCAAGGACGTGGTACCGACCGTTGACTCGGAAGACACTGAGACATAGGGCAATAAACATGAAATGCTAGATAGAAAAGAAAACCAACACGGTGAGAGATTTGGACAACTTGGTTGACCTGTGAGGCGTCTCCGAGTCAACCGTGAGTTAAGTGAGACTTGTGGTTTAGATGATATTTGTGCCGAGTTGGATACAACTTGGTTAAGTTGTATCAGTATTGGTTGGTACTTTGAAACATTCTACAAACAGATAACATACTTGGCGTAGAATTTTGAAGATGAGCACAGAAGGATTTGTGCATCCAATCCCATAGTAGCTGAAAAAATGGTTGGACTCTCATAATTACCAGGTGCTACAAAATCACCATTGGGAATAAACGTTTATGAATCTCAATTTTTGATGATGTTATTAGTTGCTTTTTTTCTAAATGCATTTCTTAATCTATGTTGGGGTATCTCAAGTTTTATATTTTAAAATGCATGTTTCCTACGTTTTTGCTCTTTCCTCTTCTCACAAACTGGGCACAAACAATCTTGTGGTAAAGCATCTATGATCTTTTGTTTAGTTGCTGAGATAAGCTGCTTTGGTGAAACAGTTTATTGGCGTCTCTTTGGCACCAACCATGATGCTAATCACAGAGCTTATGAGAGGTGGTACTCTTCAGAAGTACTTGTGGAGCATCCGTCCAAAGAGTCCAGATCTGCGGGTCTCCATTAGTTTTGCATTGGGAATTTCTCGCGCAATGGAATATTTGCATGCAAATGGCATCATTCACCGTGACTTGAAGCCCAGTAATCCTTCACACTTATCATCTCCAATCTTGCTTCATTTTGTATGTTTTATTACAGTGAACTGTTTAAGGCTGTCCTCCTACGAGTTCTGGCAACGGCTTCTGTGGCGGAGCCACGTTAAGATGGAGGGGGGGGGGGCACAAGCTCCCCCGACTTTCCAGTCACACACCTATAAATGTAGCATTAAGGGACCTAACTTGGGTCTATTTAATACGGTTACCCCCTCTAATTCTTTGGAAATTTGTACAGTAGCATTTTTTTATTTTATTTTAGGAAGTAGTCAACGGATCCTCCAAAAACGAATGTTTAATTTCTGAATGGCTCCTTATTGTTTGAAAACAATTATAAAGTTGACTTTGATCCTTTTTTGGTATGTTGAAGTTTTTTCTGCTAAGATGACCTCAAGTAAACCATTGAGAAATTTAACATAGAGTTAATGAATTACAAATATTTTGTAAGATGTGTTCCACCCTAATAAACAATTAAGTTGAAATGTACTGAGAAAGAGTCATTCTGTGTCGTAATTTGTTTATTTTGTGTTAAGATTTAGTGGTTGGTGATTGTTGGTATGGAAACCGTTTCTGTTGGTGACAGACAGATATGCTCATCCTTTCAGTCTGGAAAACCGTCATATTCTAAACTCTAAAACATAGGCATCTAAAACATAGGCATATTTTTTAATATTGTCCATGGAAATTGTATTGTGCCTACATCTAGGTTTGAGCTAGTTGTAAACATCCCCAAGGCATTCTTAATGGTTTTGTTCCTTTTTGTTTTATATCTAAAATCTCTATTGCATATTATAGGCAATCTACTTCTCACGGAGGACAAGAATAACATTAAGCTAGCTGATTTTGGTTTAGCTAGGGAGGAGGAATTGGGTGAAATGACTACTGAGGCTGGTACTTATCGGTGGATGGCCCCTGAGGTACTGCTATGGTACATAGTTAACTTCACCCAAAATCTTAAGTATATGCCTTACTCTTGACCTAAATCAGTTGTTCAGCACATACCCACTCAAACTGGGAATGAAGAAACACTACAATCATAAGGTGGATGTCTACAGCTTCTCAATGGTCCTTTGGGAGTTGCTCATGAACAAGACTCCATTCAAGGGGAGGAACAACGTAATGGTGGCATACGCTGCAGCTACAGTATGTCCTTTCAGTTTATGACAGCTATCTCCAATTTTGCATCGTGTTTACATTACACTAAGATCCAGCAAGCTGCATAGACATGTCATGTCCTCATTAAGCAGAAGCTGCAGTCTAAACTTTGTGAGGGTACTTTATTATACCTGTATAACACAGGCTTTATAGCACGCTAACTCGCTATGATACTTTATGCGTTGACATGTTTACTTGGTAGTAAATAGAGTTTGTTGCGTGTGGCTGCGTGGTTATATATATCTTGTAATGAATTTTTCTTTTACTTCCAGAACTTGAGGCCTAGCATTGATAACATTCCAAAGGATATTGCTCCTCTCTTGCAGTCCTGTTGGGCAGAAGACCCATCGGACCGACCAGAATTCATCCAAATCACAGACTTCCTTTCAAACTTCCTCCACTTCATGTGTCCACCGCAGACCACACCACCGAAGCTGTTTGAGGTTGAACATCCAAAGATCATAATAACAGAAGACTCTCCAGGCACTGTTCATCTAACCAACAAGTGTGACAAGAACAAGTGGAGGACCAAGAGCCGATGCCGCCGATTCCTGCATTGCTTAGGTGACTGTTTCTGATGGGGCTGAGAGACTCGTCGTGGTGGTAGATTCTGAGTTTTTTTGTAAACATTTGTTTCTTCATTCTCATACATGTAGAACAAAAGGGATCATGCATTACAATCGAGTTTGCATTTGTCATTATGGACATTGTATATAAAATTATAGAAATCATAGGAGAAAAAGAAAGAAATGTATTAGATAATATCAAGTTGCTTCCATTCCCTCAACTCAGTTGGTTTCTACCCTTTATTCGATCAAATTTAATAAATTCCAACAGTCCTATTTCTGCATTTTCATTGTGAAACTAATATGTTTAGTGGTCAGTGACTTTTGCTGCCATAATGTAATGTGTTTCCAATGCTGAAATATCATAAGTATTGTCTCGTCTTGGGTCATCACATGAAAAATTATAATCGAATTTTTTTTTTATCTAACATTAACTTAAAACTACGTGCATCTAAAATATTTTTTACTAATGTCAGTTTAGTTCTATGATTAATATGTTATGGGTTGCATAAACCTTTAGTAATTTACGGGATAAATTAATAACTCGAGTGTTTCTACCCCCATCAACTGGTATCTTGATCTTGAACCAATTAAAATTATAATTTCATTAAGAACATTTTCACTTGATAGAACTATCTCATCAATATATGATTTTCATGAGATAATCTTCATTTGCTATTCAAGCACAAATACTTTTATTTAAGAGAATATGTTTAATTATAAATTTTAAATTTCAAATTCAAAATCTTAGTGGGCGAATTTCTAATGAAAAAAAATATAATTACCATTTAAGTTGAAATTTGTACGCAGGTGTAATATGATCAAATATTATTCTGATTATACCTTTGATCTAACCACAATTTACAAGATTCAGTGGACCGAATATAATTGTGGATGATTTGATATGACCCACAAATAAAATCGATAATATTTGATGAAATTTTCTTGTGATGCGGCGACAGAAAGGTTTTAACACTCAACTAATCATATTGTTGGCATATTTTCAACACTTGGAGAAAATATTGGATATAACAATTATATTCCGTGATTAATCATTCGTGGTATAAAAACCAAAAATAAATAATATAAAAATGTTAACTCATTTGATTAATTTTTTTTTTTTTTTTAAATGCATGACATTTTTTATATTTCCTCCGACCTTTGCCCCGGGGGGGGGGGAGAGAGAGAATTAAAGTAAGTTATCCATTGAGCTGTCCTGAGTCATCAAAGGAACTTTGTTCCTAGTCACGCCTATCCACTTATACTTTAACACCTGGCATCCCCTTCCCCCTCACGTGTCACCTTCCCAAACCCTACTCTCCCCTCCTCTCCTCTCCTCTCCTCTCCTCTCCGTCGACTCACACCAACAACAGACCACAAACAAATTCCCCCCTCTCTCTCTCTCAACAAAGCCTTTTGGATATTCTGAACCGCGGAGATTTGGTTGATAGTACAAAAAAGTACAAACAAACCCTAGCTTAGCCTTATTGGCCGTTAGATCTCCCATTCTCTCTCCTATTTCCACTGAGCACACACAAAGTAAATTAGAAAGGGGTGAGATTGTTCCGTCCCACATGGACTTGCCCCTTCCACCTCACTCCTCCCTCATAACCAGGTCAGTCCCTCCTTCCCTCTTTCTTTCTCCTCCACTTTTATCCTTGTTCTCTCCATAATTTACGCTTGTAAATACACAGCAGTTTTTTTTACTGTCGTTTTGCTTGGATTTTTTGGTTTATATTCGAAGAATTAAGCTCCGGATCTTGAAGTTCTGATGCTTTTTCTAACAAAATTAGGGTTGAATTTGGTGTGTAAAATTGGAAACAATATGGTGTTGTAGACGATCCTTCTTTTTTAGTTCTCTAGGCCTCACTTTCGTTGTGATTAACGAATGATCTTTTACAGACTCGTGTTTTATGAGCTCTGTTCTTCAAGAATTGTTGGTCAGTGGTCTAAAGAAGACAGGAAGCCGAACATATGCGAATTTGATTTTTGTTCCTTCTTCTTGATCGAAGATGATGAAGTATAAATTAAATTCATAACCCGATTGAGTTCAACATATACAATTGCTAATTTCACTTGAAAGAAAACGAAAGAGAAAAAAACTAACGTCATTGATTCTATTATTCTGGTAATTGTAATAGTTGCCTCATGCATAAGACAAGATGGCTTAAACCCAAAAAAAAAAAAAAGACAAGAGAGATATTTGTCATCTGATTGAGTTCAACATATACAATTGCTAATTTCACTTGAAAGAAAAAGAAAGAGAAAAAAACTAACGTCATTGATTCTATTATTCTGGTAATTGTTGCCTCATGCATAAGACAAGATGGCTTAAAAAAAAAAAAAAAGACAGGAGAGATATTTGTCATTTGATAACCTTGAGTGGTACAGTCTTTTGCTTATCCGGAGTGTATTAATTTGTAGCACAATTGACATAAGCTCATAGTCCTTAAAAGTGGTATAAGCTGAATGAAATTCTCTAAACCCTGATTTATAGTTGTTTTGCAGCTGTAAGCCTGCATTTGTAGTACAAGAATTTCAGTGTTGGATAATGTAATAGCAATTAGAGGGTCAACAGATAGCCATAAGCAATGGTTAAATTTTGTTTTGTTCTGATCAAAACAATATACCGATTTGATCTGAACTCTCTTATTGAATTGCTCATTTAATGAGCATTCTCAATATTAATATTATGCCTTGAAGAGGACTCGAACATCCACGCTCTTTAGTATGAGATTTTGAGTCTCGTTGCAGTTTTGAAGCCCACAAAAACGAAGAAGTATTCACAAGTCAAAAAACATTGGTTTTGAACAAAATGATTGCGAACAATGAGCATCATTATTTTTTAAGCTTCTATTTCTTTTAACATATCTAAATTCTGATAAGAAGGGAGGTGGCAAAAGAGAAAGAATCTGGCCTGCCATGATGCTTGAAATGTATTAGGTATGCAATCTTCTTCTTCCTGTTTTTGGTCTGATGTGTTGCTTTAGGATTATATTTGTTACTTGGAGGTCAAGAATCGTGGGCTGTGAATGAAGTAACATTTTGGTTCGTTTTGAAAAATGAGACGAAAGGGAAAGAGTCTTGCTTGTCATTGTACTCAAACTATATTAGGAGTGCAATCTTCTTCTTCCTTTTTGCAGGCTGATGTGTTCCTTTAGGTTTCTGTTTTTACTATCTTTTGACTTTGCTCTTATATAACTATTCCTTTCTTTTCTTTTCTCTTGATTTTAGCTCCTACTTGGTATGTCTTTCTGAAATATGGTTAATGCCCAAATCTAGTCCTGCTATTTCACCAACTATTGGTTAGGCTTTAATGTTATTTATGGTTTTATGATTATGAATAAGATATCCATCGATAATGCTTCAAGAACATTCGATGTATATTTCTGGTAACACCTAGATGAACGCATATTGGGTTTGGATGTTATGCCATGCGATTTATGAATCTATAGTAGGCAGCTGTGATGATATATGTAACCTTGTTTTGCTTGGGTCTTGTACAATTATAATGTACTAGGTTGGGCAACTCAAGAAATCCCGAAAATCTTACTAGGTCCTTAAATCTACTCAATATCGGATATAAGTATAATGTCATATTTACTTCTTTTGTCTTAATTGGAGTGGGGGCAGGGATAGGCATGGGAAAGGTAATTCTCGAGTTATGTCATATGCATAACTCGGCCAACAGATGAGAAAAATAGAGAAGGGCATATCAATGAAGCTTTGCCTAAGTTCAACTCTAACCAAACTCTTGTAGATAAGAAGAATACACCTTCAAGGTCCTTCATCAAGAGATTCTTCAAACATCTTCAAGCCGGTCATCACAAAGGGTGGTTTAGGGATGCACCAAAGGCATCATCAACCAAAGATCGAGAAATAGGTCAACTTGGCTTGTGTCTTTATCAAATCAATTGAGAACCTTTAGAGTCAACGTCAGTTCTTGTAATCAAATTCGAAGTATCAAACGATTGTAATTTGACAACTTTTTGTGTAATTTTACACTCAAAAGTTGTTGTTATAGCAATATAGTAAATCTGATTAATATTGCATCGAATATACAAGATGGAACACAATAACGGAATAAAATTCATGTAGTCAATCACACAGTTTCGTCGTTCCCAAATAGTTGGGACAATGCTATGTTGGGGTGAGTTGAGTTGTAACAATATAACTGATCAAACGAATTATTGTTGCCATTTATTTTCTATCGTTACTTTTATTGCTTTCTGTTCACATTGCTTCTTTTTGCTCCATTTGATACCAATATCCTTTCATTGGATGGGGGTGTGTGCCTCTGATGTAGTCAATTAATCATTGATCGAGCAAGAAGTTCATTGATTGAGTTTATGTTTAGGAGTAAATAGTTTAAGTTTATGGTTCCACATCTCTGAATATTTTTCACTGTTTTCAACAAATTTTCGTATCATTGCTAGTTCCATGCTGATGGAAATGAGACATTTAAACAAGATTTTAATCCACAGTGCCAAAATGGTGAGGGTTACAACTTACAACAAGCCATCATAAATTTCTTGTGTAGGTATTTGTTGCCAATACATTTACTCATGAATTCACGTGTAGGTTTTATTTGCAAAATCTTGATCTTGTTCATATCATTTGAAATATTGTAAATGCAATTTGTGGGGAGGGAGAGATCTTATTTTTGAAATTCCACCGTGTTACTTGCCAAAAATGCACTCCCTGTTTTGAAGATGCTTACTTTGCAAATATTAAAGTGAAGTGACTTTCTGCAAGATACTCTGTCCACTATCTTATAAACAGTTTTGAAACATAAAGAGACGAAATAAATGTTTCAAATACATGAAATGTTTTGGTGATTATATTAACACTCACACTAGCAGCGTCTGTTTGGATACAAGGTTTGAATAACTTTGTTCCAACTCATCTTAGATGTTTCATGTTTGTTATCCTTTTGAATGCTACTAATGGCAAATATTTAACAAAGTAGAATGATGTGCAAATTCTGATCTGTCTTCCTGCTTAATTTGATGTCCACAGGTGGATCATAGGTTGTAATTGAAATATAGGAGAACTTGTCACATACTGCAACAGTTGAGCTGGATTACTGAGTTTATTTTCTATTATATAATGGGGTCTGGAGAAGAGAGCACACCTGCTAAACCTTCCAAACATACTTCTTCAACTCAGGTCCTTTCTCTTGTTCTATATATACATATGTATGTTCATGATTTTCAAGTGTTTTCCTCATTCTCTTTCTTATTTTTCAGGAGACACCAACAACACCTTCTTATCCTGATTGGTCAAGCTCTATGCAGGTTTGTGATGAAACACCATGGGTTTATTTATTTATTTTTTTGGTGTGTCTTCTTGGATGCATATGTAAATGTAACTAGATTATCTTGGTTGCTGATAACTTACTTTCTTGTTTAGGCTTATTATGGTGCTGGAGCTACTCCCCCCTTTTTTGGCTCAACTGTTGCTTCTCCCACTCCCCATCCGTATATGTGGGGAAGCCAGGTGTTTATCTATTTTCTTTTAGTCTATTCATTTTTGTGTTGAGGTTGCATGGAGTTGTGCATTGTTTGATAGTGGTATGGCTTCATAATTCGTTCGTGGGACATAGTTCTTATTTTGATTTTTCTGTTAATGACTTTACAGCATCCTTTAATGCCACCATATGGGACCCCTATCCCATATCCTGCTTTATATCCTCCTGGGGGAATTTATGTCCATCCTAATTTGGCCGTGGTAATCAAGATTTTTTTTTTTTGTTGTGATCATTTGATATTTGATGTTGAGTTCATGTTCTCGTCAGAAGTTGGTTTTCTCTTTAATTTCCTCATATGATCAGAGCTGTTTCAGTTGAAAGTGTATGATGTTCATTTTCAAATATTTCTGCAAAAATGAAGTTTATCCTTTGGATCTATTGGATTTTATCATAATATTGTAATCTTATTTCATTTGTTATTTTTTTATTTTTACTTTTTGACATTCCTTTGCTAGATATCAAGCACAGCACAGACAAACCCCGAATCTGAAGGTAAAGCCACCGAGGGGAAGGACCGGGCTTCAAACAAAAAACCCAAGGTAGCTTCAGGAAATGCTGGCTTGAATGGTGGCAGGGTTGGAGAAATTGGGAATGGAGCTTCAGGTTCAGGAAATGATGGTACAACTCAAAGGTTTGCTAACCTAAATTTAGTGCTAGATTATTTGTTTTCTTTGCATGTTTTCAGATTACTTCCAGTCTTCATTGCCTTTTTTGAGCCAAGGCGTATCCCTTGTTTTTGATTGTTCTGACTGTAGAATTTAGCTGTTTACAGTGCCGAAAGTGGAAGTGAGGGTTCATCTGATTCAAGTGATGATAATATCAACCAACATGTATGTGCCTTCTATTTTTAGACTAATGTAGGCGTGAGTTTACTTCTTCACTGTGCTAATAGCATGTTTTCTTGTGTGTGCTACCCCTGAAGTAGATCCTAACAAAAAGAGTCGGCTTTTCCCCTTAGTACGGTCAGAAATGTGATGTGATATTTTTTCTGTGGTCATATTAGAATGAATCCAATTTGACTCTTCAGGAATTTGCTAGTAGTACGAAAGGAAGCTTTGGCCAGATGCTTGCAGATGGTATTTTCAGCGCCTTCAATGTATTGGTTTTGGCTCTCTAAATTACCGTAATAATGTTGTAATTTTGTAAAATGGTCAGCAGCCAATGCACAGAGTAACACTGCTGGAGCAACTCTCCAGGCATCAGTGCCTGGGAATCCAGTTGTCTCTATGCCTGCAACTAATCTGAATATTGGAATGGACTTATGGAATGGGTCCCCTGCTGGCACTGGAGCTGTGAAGATGCGACCAAATTCTTCTGGTGTCTCACCACCTGCTGTTCCAGCAGCAATGACTGCACGTGAAGGCATGTTGCCCGATCACCACTGGGTTCAAGTATGAAGCCTTGCCATTATTTTTCAATTCTGTTTTCTCTCTTGGTTGGTTTTATACAATATTATTGTGAGAAAAACCTGTTCGTTAATGTTGTGGTGTGGTTACACCTTTTTACTGAAACATGGATTGGAGTCATGAGGACAAACTAGACTTAAACTAGCAAACCCTTCCGATCACCAGCCCATACAATGCCTTCTTAGGGCCATGGTGGTGTACCATCTGTTAGACATCCTCTGCCTATGTGGGGAATTACTGCATCAAATACATTTTTCTTTGTATTTTGTTGAGCTTTCCCAAGAGGATGGCTGTGTTTTAACTCGTCTGTTTATATGATGCACACGTTTGGAATTGAGGGATTCATAACATTAAAATCTAGGCTGTCGACCATTCCTACCTATATGTAAATGAATTTTCATGGAATTGAAACTTTCAAATTAACAGGATGAACGGGAACTGAAAAGACAAAAGAGGAAGCAATCCAATAGGGAGTCAGCTAGGAGGTCAAGATTGCGCAAGCAGGTACGATTTGTCTTCTTCTCTTTTTGTTATTCTTGCTGTTTGCCTGTCAAAATTTTGATCAATATGGAAACTTATGGGAACGTACACTGGACATGCATAGTATTTATCAACACAATGTTTTGTGTGATCCAATTTGCAAGAATGAGGATGGGATAAATTGACCACTTGTTCATGAAAGAAGCCTCACTATATGTGTAGGGCTCGAGTGCTGTGACTTAACTTTTGTGGTTTTTAGTTGATGAATGAATTCTGTAAGCGTTGGTCAGAGTCTTTTGATTATGAAGAATTTCTTGCAACTTGGAGAATCTGTGGAGTTTGTTTTTCTCACGGCAACTCTAATTGTCTTTTATGCCATTTTTCAGCTACTTAAAGGATCTGATTATGTGAAGACCTGATCAGTTTCCAGTTTATATTTGTTAGTTACTTTTAGATATTGCAAAAGGTGCAATCATGGATCCACAGCCTGCTGATGTAACTGCTAGACTGATGAATGTTTCTGGTGATGTTCTGTTGGGAGAATAATGTGGGATTGGTGATCATGAAGATTTTGAAAAATACGATGGTTTTTTCAGATTACTGGAAACAACCATCAAGTGATTACATGTGGACTGTATTTGCTATTACTGTGTGGACCATTCTCACTGGAAGTTGTAAAGCTGTAATCAGAGGAATAAAACAAGATTTAAATCCATAGAACAATGAGGAGAAGAAAATTCTGCTATGCGAATATAGGGTTTATTATGAACAGAAAAATGTAACAAGTGCACTTGTTGACTTTACATATATTTCATGTCTTCAAATTTCATCATTATGTTGGAATAACATATCATTTCTTTTTCTTGTCAGGCTGAGTGTGAAGACCTACAGCAAAGAGTAGAGACATTGAACAATGAGAATCTCGTGCTCAGAGATGAGCTGCAAAGGCTTTCTGAGGAATGCGAGAAGATTACTTCGGAAAATAATTCCATCAAGGTTTACTATCCAACAGCCACCCTCACTTTCCCTTTTCCCCCTACTTACTGCCTCTGATTTCTTTTATGTGCTGCCACTAATTTTATTTTTTTGCCTATTCCATTTTGGTGAAACTTCTCGGTGCCTGGCTTGGTCTTTATCAAAATTATGTGGGTGATCTTGCTGCTGAAACAGGAAGAAGTAACTAGATTATGCGGACCAGATGCAGTCTCCAAACTGGAGAACAATTGCATTGCACCACATCTGCAGTCTCATGCCGATGAAAGTAACAGTTGAGAAATATCAATTTCAAGAATATTTTGCTGTGTTTACTCTCGGCAGAAAGATCTCTTGTAAGTCCCTTGGGATTCTAACTGTAGGCGGACGTAATTGATGTTTGTTACCCTTACTAATCTATAAGCTTAACCCTTCCTCTTCATATGTAACTGTAGCATTTGTTTGTGAAATTCTAACATGAATTGGAGCTCTGATTACGCTATTCTCTTGTTGTACGAGTAGACCAATGAGAAATAATTTGCATCGAGGGATTATTACTTCTTCAACTATTTCATATCTTCCCACTTTTTTTTTGTGGGGGATTTTTCCTATACTCTGCTGCCTGTTCCTTCTGCATGTAGATTTTGAATGGTTCGAGATGACATTGTGTCTCTTTTTCTTCGTTGTGTGTGTGTGTGTGTTTGGGGTGGAGTTTGGCTGGTTTTTTTTTTTTTTGGTGGGGGGGGGGGGGGGGGGAGTTGGGTTGTGTGTTGTGGAGGGGGTTGATTCCTTTTCTTTTATATTTTCTTCCTATGCAATTCAGCTGTTAATCCCAGTGTGGGGACTAAAAATTGTTAATTCTTTTCACAAGGCAGAAAAATGTCAAAAAGTTTTGGTCTTTGACATGCCGAAACATGGAGATGCTGCACCTTCGGTCCCCAATATGAGTTCTGCAAAGTCATCTAAGTAGGAAATGGAGAAATAGAATACGAAGGGTGATTCACGGACGACTTGAGTTTGAATTTTCATCGAAGGGTGAAATAGAATGTGAACCTGGAAATTCGAAATCAGCGAGGATGGGAGGATTCCATCCTCCTCCACCCAAAAAAGAAAATGATTTGACCAAACCAAGGAGGGGTGAATTAGTTCATTGGCGAGATACCTCCCATGGCCAAATATACCCAAAAGCAGCAAAGAAAAGAAAGTGATAGGGAGAGTACCGAAAAATGTCACTTGATTGCATACTTTAAAAGAGTTTCACAAACATTTATGCTTTGAAACAAGCCAGACTTCAAATGTAATATGATAAAATTCACCACCAGAAAAGAAAGAAAGAAAGATTACTCCAAACCTCTCTTACCCACTACACACCAACAAAAAACTACATAACACAACCACCTACCTTGGAAATACATAGAATATAACCTAATGTCACAATCCCCACTCCACTAATTGACCACTTTCCTAACACCTCCAAGCCGACGTGACAACCAGTGGCCTCTCATGCCAGCAAAGCACCATCTCCGCCTGTTGTTTCGCCACGTGGAAACCTCTGACTTGGATTCTGCCCACTAATGACTCAGCTTGAGAATCAGCGAACTGACTCAGCCCAACCGGCCTCAACCCCGCCCCAGCAAACGCCTCCCTCCACGGCGTCCCAGGGTGGCTAGCCGCCTCCACCGCCTCGAAAATCTTCGGAAGCAGCACAAACATCTCAATCTTCCGAATCCAATCACCACCACCCCCGCCGCCGCTGATATTCCACGCCTCCAACGACTCCAACACGGTGGAATAAAATTCAAGGCCATCGATGACGCACTGACGCAAAGACGACACCCCAAATCCCATCAGGCCTTCACTGTCCACGAGCACCACCACATGGGGTGAGATTTTCCGAAGATCATTCACAAAACCACCCCCAATGCGTTGAAAGATCGCCGGAGACAAAAGCACGGCGGTCTTCTCTCCGTCGACGAATTTGATGGCTTTGAAAGATAGGTACTGAAATGTTCGAATCGAAACGAAATCGATTTCGAATCCGATATTGAGTTCACGAGCGAATTGGATTAGGTTTTCTCTGATCAATCGTGATTCAATTGCGTACTCTTCAGGAACCAAAGCTGTGATTCGAAGAGCCGGTGGGTTAGATTTTCGAGACTCGGCTTTATCCGCGAGCTCTTTCATGAAGGAGGCCCAGTGACCTCCGATTCCGATGTCAAAGTCAATGACGTGGACGACAATCGAGCCATCGACGGCTTCGAGGATGGCTTGGTTGGCGGTGAAGCTGGAGAACATGGGGATAGGAGAGATGTTGCAGAAGATTTTGTAAGCTTTAATGGTGTGGATGATTTCAGAGGTAGTGGCAGGGGGGTTGGTCCGGTGGGGAGAGACTTGAGAGCTTCTTTGAAGTAGAAAGCAGCTCTCTGGAGGGGTTTTCCGGTGGGTGATTGGAGGCGTTGATTGAGCCGCGCCAATATCAGGTGCGCGAATTGGGACGAGTTGGTTTCGAAGCACTCGGCGACTCGGATGAGGTCGTCCACATAATCGAACCCAACATTCCATTGGTTCATATGGTGGAGATCATTCGAGAGGTCAACCGTGTTGGAATTGTGGTTTAATGGTGGGTATGAGCCCCCATGAGAGAGATTGAAATCGGAGGGGATGAACTGAGTTGCTTCAAACATGTGAGGTTGGGCAAATTCGGGAAGAGCTCCTTGATACTGAGTCTCGCTGTGAGTGAGTTGGGAATTCAATTTCAAACCAGGGGTTGAATCATCAGGAAGACCAAATTCTTTCATCCAATCCTCCAAGTGGTTCAGAACATGGTCGTCTACCTGAAGAGAGTCATCAGACTGACACAATTGCCACACAGTATGATCAGAAACAGTCGAGATTTCAGTTTTAGCCACCGGTTTGTCTCCCGCCGGACTGGGACTTGGGCAGAGTTCACGAACCGATTTGGGTTCGTAGCACAGGTTGCCGGAGCCCTGAGAAGTGGTATTCCGAGCAGTATTGATCGACTTTGAACTCACAGATTGCTGGTTTTGTTGTGAGGTAAAGGGTACTTTCATTTCTATGAGAACAAAGGAAGAGTTTCACACCACTCTTTGTCTCGCTCTCTTACTATCTCAATAAGATTGTATCTTCTTCTCCTTCTATATCACTAACTCTGTTCTTCAAAGATTGTGTTTTGTAATGTAGAAGATGGAGATAGGAGGGTAGGGGGCTTTTCGTGGTGATCATTGCTGGCTTTTATCTTTGCGTGCGTGCGTGCATGGGGGGTTATGGAGGATGAGAATGGGAATGGGTATGTGATTCATATGAGCTGAGGCATGACAGACATATATGGACAACACATATGATGGGACCCAATTCAAGAAGAAGATTGATTTGATTTTTCCCTTGGAGGCTTCTTCTTGAAGGCTTAAAAGGTTAAAAAGGTTTGCTTTCTTTGTACTTTCTTGGTTTCTCTTCTTCTTGCACTAACTGCCACACCACTCAAATCCCTAATTTTTTTGCAAAGTCCCCCAGCCCCGCCCTCTCTCCTTCATATTAAGGATAAATTACAGTAATGGTCTCTGTATTTTTTGGGTATTTATATCACATCTTGAGAGTTTTCCAATTTTTAGGGTTCATCCATTTTTTGGGTCAAATTATTGAGTTATTAGATATAACTTATTGAGTTAATTACACTGAAAGTTCCTACAATATGGAATTTTTCTTATTTTGATCCTCAATATTTCAAGAGTACTACTATTTTGACCTAAAATCTGATTTAATTTGTTGATATAATGATTCGCCTTAATAGGAATCATTGGATCAACACCAAGTTCTAATTTTTAATGGAGCATACATCCAATCCAAATGTCACAATGAATGAGGTCAGATTTTTAGTTCTCAATAGCATTGCTCATATTTCAATTGCACCATTTTAGTCATTGAAGTATTAAATATATTTTTATGTGATCCCTCAAGTAGACAACACTCAAATTACTAGCAAATTTTTATTATAAATTTGTCACATAATAACTAACTATGGGTACAAAAAATAATTTTGATAACTCTTGATCAAATTCCTATTCAAATGTTGGTCAAAAACTACATATATTACACATTTTTTTAAGAGCTACTCAAATTATTTTTTGCCCATATTTAAACATCACGTGTCAAGTTTATAATAAAAAACCGTTAGTAATTTGAATGTTGTCTGCTTAAGGGACTACATAAAAACATATTTAATACTTCAGGGACCAAAATGTTGTAATTGAAATATTAGATACCAAAATGAGACAAATTTTATACTTTGGAGGCCTTCGGTGTAATTAATCCTAATTTATTATTTTTTGTTACGATACTAAAAAAATAAAAAATAAAAAAATATCATAGTGGTCCCTCGGAGACTAATAACATAGATTGTCTTTCTATTTATAAGATAGAACAATCACAATTAGTTGTTAAAACCAAAGTTCAAATACATGTGTATCTCTGTTTTGCCAAATGCTAACTACTTGTAAAGCTTTCCTCAGTTGCTTACTCCAATCTAACGGAAAGTATTTTCAACCAAAAACGACAAGCAAGTCAAAATGTGGGGGTGTTAAAGTTCCACACTTGTGTTGATTCCACTCGCACTAATGACCAAATCAAAGAAAATTAGCAACCCTTTAACTTTAACTTTAACTTAACCAACACACAACTTAACGCAGACTATTAGGTTAAAAGAACACCTTTAAAGGAAGGGGGTTGGGGGGGGGGGGGGATTGCCATACTTGATACTTTGTATGATTGTCCAAATTAATTTGAACTTTGTTGGGAAACTTAGAAACGAATAAAGCTCAAAAGATTATTGTCCTTTCCTTTGGCTGAACTTGGTAAAAATGCATCCAGCTTTGACGAGTTGGTCAATTTTTTATGGAATGTAAACTTCCATTATAATGGTGTAAATATCTCCCTATATCACTTATCTCTACATAAAAAACAGAGATCTCAAATTCACATACATAAACTCGCACGTGTAGTTCAATGATACAGGATTAAATCTTAAACAAACGAATTGTAAACTTAAGGTTTGATTTTTGCTGATGACTCCTAAATTTTGCCTATAGTTTGTGGTGTGGTTGGTGGGTGATTACTAGTAGTATCTAATTGGTCTAACAAAAACCCAACTTTCCTCCTTGCTGAAACAAAAGATTCACATAGAGAATAAATAATAGATCTCTTTGGAGTTATCTTAAATAAGTAGTTATTAAGGATTTTAGAGTAATAAAATAAATAATAGATCTCTTTTATTCCGACTTTTTAGAGTTTTGTGAGTCCCACATAATTTTTTAGTTTATCATATTCAGAAAATATTATTAATGACGTTAAAAAATTTAAAATTTATATTTTGAGAACCATTATGAATAATTTATATTTAAAATCTATACATGTAATTATTTTTTTTGGCACAAATAACCAAAAAAAAACTAGAAAATCGTTTCAAACATATTTTTTCAGTTTTTTAGCTTTTTAAAGAACACCCCAAACGATTTTGGGAGATTTTTTTGTAAAAATTTTTAAATCGCAGTTTTTCACTTTAAAAAAACTAATTACAAATAGGTCCACTTATTATTGGATGGTTTTTGTGGTGCGCTAGAAAAGAAATTTGATAAATCATATCGATCTCTGTTGTAGTTTCTCGTAATTACAGAAACATTCCTGGTAGTTTTTGAAATTCTTTTAACGCCTCCTTTCAAAACTTGTCCCTAGACAATTAATATTGATGGAAACTAAAACAAAACTAACGGATGAATTCTTGTTCCACCTACATAAAGAAGTGGACCCAGAAATTGAGGTGATCTGACCCACCAGTAGGACCCACATTGGCGACTTTTGTCTGAAATGTATGGATGCATTTAACTCTTCCCATCCCATGCGCTCCTACTGGAAAGAGCGTAGAAGTCACGCACAATATACATTGGCGGCCGGCCAACAGGAAGAATATGTTCTGCTGCTGATGGTGCATTATTACTACAACCAATCCATCCGTCCGTTATACGTACTCCAAAGTCCAAACACACCCCCAATATCTGCACCTTTTATTTTTATTATTGTCCACTTTAACGTAAGTAGGTTAAAAAAATGCCAACTTCTAAAAGATGTTTTTGGTCCTTTTATTAACCATTATAAATTGTATAAAATATGTTATCTTGCAGAAATTAAAAAATTCCCATTTAAAAATTAAATAATTTGTCATGAAATAATTTAATCTTTATGGGTGAATGTATGTAAAAATGTTAATCGGGACAAATTATTCAAATTTGACTTGAATAAGACTCGGTTCGAGCTCGACTCGTATTTTAAACGAACTAAACTTGAACAATTTATTAAACAATTCTTAAAAGCTCGTCTCAAGTTTGTAAAATTCATTTTGTTTATATGTAAAATAGTCAAGTTATTCGAGTTCGGGTTCAAGCTCGGCTCAATTTCTAAACAGGTTGAGTTTAAACAATTTTTTTAGACTCGTTTAAAAAAATGAACTAAACAAATTCAAATTCACACTCACAAAATTCGGATCAATTAACACTTGAAATTTATGTTTGTATGCTCCGTCTCCCGTCTCCCGTCTCCCGTGATCTAGATATGAATCGCGAGGTTTTTATAAACCCAAGTGGAGTATGACCATTGTGAATGACGACAACGTAGTTTGGTTGATGACTAGGATGTCCCTTACAATATTTAATCTCGAGAATTCAAGATATTATTTACTATGCTCTTATCGTTTGAACTTTCTTAAAAGTGTTATTTCTTAAAATATTTATTCCACCATATCTATAATAAACAGTAAATACACAAATATAAAAATGTGATATTTGCAGCACACATGTCCTAATCAAAAGCATATGTGTTTTCACTAGCATTTCTTAACATCCCCTCAATTACCCCCCCCCCCTAATTTACTATGGTATTGTGGTTTGAACACTCGTATTATAAAAGAATCCAATGCAATCATTTCGAAATTTTATGCTTAACTTTTCCCCTGATCATAATCTTTTTAGACAGTTATGGCAACACAGTAAAGCACCGCTTCAGCCAAAAGTAGAGGGGCCAAACTGAAAAATAAAAGCCTCCTTCGGCTATTTCTCGTTTTACAAAAGGCAAAAGGGTCAGTTACTAAAGGCATAAGCTCCCAAAAAGATTAAAATCAAAGTCCAACTGCTAGGATTATGCGAATTCCAAGATATAATTAAATTCAGACTAAATTTTTTTTTTTTACGTGATCTTTAGGTTTGCGCCAACTATTCTCTCTTAAACCGGTCACCACGAGTCGAGCTAGCTTAAAAATGTCCCCTGAAAAACAAGGATGACTGATTCTTAAGGGGTGTGAAAAATATCAAACGTAACACCTCTTACTTGCAAGAGCACAAACTTGACCACCAGACCACCATTTAAGGATTAAATTTAGACTCAATTTTAAAAAAAAACAGTTTGATAAAAATTTCAGGGTCTTGTAATTTGCCACTTGTTATGTTATGTTATGCTATCGAACAATGATAATGAAATTGAGAAAGTTATGACAAGGAGAGTAACATGACACTTTATTCAAATAGTATTTAAGCATCTAAGTTTATCTTTTGGAATATCACAAAAATCAAACACACTTTATAAGCCTATATGACGTCATGTCAAGTTTTGTCAGAAATATTCGTCTACCCCAATTTGACTAATACCTAATTAAAACTTAAAATCACGAGATTAAATTTAAATAATTCGAGTCTCTTCGAGATAACAATTACTTCGTAACTCTCGTATCTTTTTTTTTTCTTTTTTTTTGTAGGAGTAGACTAGATACATCGAGATGTGTGTATGTGTGTGTGTGTATATATAAATATTAAAAAAAAAAGATCGAATTATATATGTTTAGTTAATAATAAGAGTTGTAAACGTGGGTTAAGATCCAAAGAATTAGTATTGTGAGGGAATATTATAAAGTCAAGTACTTAGGAGCTAAGGTTCAAAATACACGGGAGACACGCGATGTGGGTAGAGAGGGGAGCTTGTGGGATACAAAAGGTAGGGGGCGAGGGGGTGTGGGGTGGGTTGAGATTCTGATTTATATCATTCACAAAAAGATTGCCACACCATTTAGCCAACTCCAAAAAGAAAAAGGCAGAACAAAGGGAGGTGATTTGGCCATGGCATTAAGGGTATCTATTTGTACAAGCAACCATGCATTGAATAGTGGAGTGGTCCTTTTATAATTGAGAGGTGATCCACAGGATATGTTGGTGTTGCTTTGAAGAAAAAAAAAAAATAATAATAATAATACCACCCCTGATACAATACGTTTAGTTTTCTTTATGGGTAGAGTCATTTTCTAGTAGTACGTACGTGTGATTCCTCCATATTTCACATGTGGCATCCTCGTTGAACTCTAAAGTGCCACTTGTTTTTGATTTATTTTGTTTTGTAATGATTATGTGTGTTCAAGTTTGTGGTTCCTCCATGTTTTCACATCTTGGGTGTTAAGCAATTCAAGCACTTTGAGCTTGACTTGATCTTTGGTTTGTTCAAGTTGAAAAATGAATTGAATTCGATCAAACCTTTAAGGGTTTAGTATTTAAAAAGTTTTAATGACAAGAAATTGAACTCGGTTTTGTCTTGAATACTGCCAAGTTTATATTAAATTAGAATCTAAACTCCACTCAAACTTAAGCTCAGTTAATAACAATTCAACCGAATTTGACTATACACAATGAATTAGAATTGGACATAAGTTTAGCCCAAACCATCGACAACATCAAAGCTTTGGTCAAGCAAGCCAACTTAGATGGGTGGGGCCAACTCAAAATTCTGAACCAAAGGCCCGGCCCGGCCCATCATGAAGGTCTATAAGAAAAAGCTCATCTCTCCCAATTCTATATGTATGTGAACGTGACTAAGTGATATATATGAACAGATGGATCTCAAATATTCTACTGACTATCTTTTTATGTCATTTAATAAGGTTAATCACCAACTAAACTCTAAAAGATCATTCAAATTTTAAATTATACCCTCAAAAACAAAAAATCTCATTTTACTCAACTAGCTTTAAATGTGAAAATAATATTTTAAATGTAAGAGGGTTCAAATGATTAAGTGATAAATTTGAGAGAATTTAAGTGTAATTTATCCAACTAATTTTAAATGGACAACTGTTATTTTAGGTGTGTATTGATATAAATTTATATTTTTAAGGATGTAAATTAAGATTTTTTATCAATAAATTAAAATTTAAAAGATCACGTAATTTATGATTAATTCCATTTAATAACTATTAAAATAGAATACATCTTTTGCATTTGTAGTTTTATTATTGGACGTGTCAGTGTTACACGCAATAGTTTATCGTGATACACTGTATCAGTACTCAGTTGGCGCCAATGGAGGAAACAGACGAAACTACCTGCTGCATGAGAGGGTCACAGCTTGACCTAAATAAGTATCCAAGTGGCACATTGAACATCCACGTGTTCAACCAAAAGCCACTTGGCTTAGTCACTCGTCATCCCTCTTCTTCCTATTAAATCAATCCCCTTCAATGGCATCTCTCTCTCTCTCTCTCTGAAACTGAAGCAATTAATGATGAAGAAACCTTTGCTTTCACCATTACCCTTTTGCGTACTCTTGTTTTGTCTTGTCGGTGTCCTCTCTATAATATGTATCTCTGTGAGTGCTACTGAGGAAGATGTTTATGGTAAGGGACCTCTGGTGAAGAAAGATCAAAGGAGGTCGTTGCTTTCAACTGAGTATGGAGAAATCTCAGCCGCCAGGGTCAGTGACAGAGTAAATGGATCTTATTATCTTCAGTTCATTACATTGGAGCCAAACGCCCTGTTCCTTCCCGTTTTTCTTCATGCAGAAATGGTCTTGTATGTCCACACAGGTTCCAATCATTAAGCTATGTCTAAATACAAGTACCCATGTTTTGTGTTGGTGTGTGTGGGTGTATATTACCTAACAATTTAACGTGTGTACTTGATTTGATTTATGTGAGTGCAGGGAGTGGGAGATTGAGTTGGATAGATGATGATAAAACTAGAGAGATATATTTAGACCGAGGAGATGTCTACATACTCCAACCAGGGACCATTTTCTTCGTACAGAACAACTTAGACCCCGAAAGACACAAGCTTAGGATCTATGCCCTTTTTGCCAATTCACTTGATGACTTCCGCGTATGACAGCTTTTCTTGGGCATCACTCATGTTTTTTAACTTCTCTTCCTACGTTATTCGAAATTGACTGCCTATAATATGAAAATTATGCAGGTAACTTCCGTCGGTGCGTACTCGAGCATTCAAGAACTGGTACTTGGATTTGATAAGAAACTTCTCCGATCTGCATTTCGAGTATGGAGTAATTTCTAACTTCAACTTGTTGGAGTTTATAAAAATACTTCGAAGTTACATGTCTTCCCTCCCTCTCTAGCTAATAAGCACAAGGTGTTTTATATATAAGGATTACGCTTCGGTAGCAACCACTTCCTTGTCAGTATCATACTGAAAAATAAAGAATCTTTTTACTTGTCAATTATCTCTAAAAAAATATAAAAAACTTAATGATAGGTGAAATCGGTATATTTATTTGAACATAATAAACAAAATGTTTATCTCATAATTTTATATTAAAAAGTAGATGAAAATAGATCTCAAAAATGAAAATGTTATAGAAAAATTGCCCACGGAATTTTTTGGGTTGGATTACAACCAAACGGATACGTAGTATTTGAACATGATAATAAAAATTATTTATCTCATAAACTTATTTTAGAAAGGGAACGAACTAAATCTGAAAAATGGACAGAAAAACTTTCCACAACATTTCTAGGTTGGATTACAACCATTGGGGTTGGATTGGGTGAGTTTACCATGGAGTGATATTACGCAATAAACAAGCGTGATCGAAAAATATGCACTCAAAAGTGGTAACAAAAATGTAAATGAAACGAAAGAAGTGGATATTATGGTAATTTTGAAAAAAATAAAAAATTATGTTGCTAGAGTTTATCAAGATCGATGGGTGCGAAAACTTAAGCATGATCGATCATGATCCAATTTAAGGAGTGGTAATGTAACTAATTGAAAAAAAACGGACATTAGTGTAATTTTAAAAAGTAATAATAGGTAATATTGGATAACGGAGTTGTAAAGATCGATCTTTTTATTCTATGATAGATCCTAAAAACTTAAGCATGAATGATTATGGTGCAACATGATTGATGGTGGTGGCATTACAATTACAACTTTTCGGGTTATGTTGGGGTTAAAACATTTTGGGTTGTCTTAAAACATTTTTGGGTTATGTTACAAATTTTTTGGGTGAGTTACAACTTTATTAGGTTGTGTTTCAACCACTTTTGGAGGTGGAGTTACAATTTGTTTGGATTGTGTTACTACTTTTTGGTATGAATTACAATTCTTTTGGAGGTTGCGTTTAAGCGACATTACAACCTTTTGGTAAAGGTTAAGGACTTAAGGGGTTATGTTATAATCTTTTTGGACATGTTTATAACTTTTTGGGGTTGTGGTACAATCATTTGAAGGTGCCACTACAATTGTTTGGGGGTTGTGTTGTAACTTTTTAGGATGGATTACAATCCTTTGGGATGAGGTTAAAAGCTTTTGGGGTGGGTACAATTCTTTTGAATTGAGTTATAACTTTTTAAGGTAAGATTATAATTTTTTAAGGTTACCTTAAATCTTTTTATGTGTCGGGCACTTTAACGTGCTTTTTTAGTATTGTAGAATGACTTTACATATCATAGCTAGATTCCGCCACTTGATTATCAAAGGAATTCCACATGTTTGACCCACAATCTTGCCCGCAAATGAGATGACTTAAGCTCCCTATGCTTTTAGATGAGTTTGGTGGTTTAACAGAACTTCCATTTGATATTTGTTTCTTGTTGTAATAGCTCAACTTAACTACCTATTACACAAACCTGCAGAATCTGATAATCCTTGGCTTGATTTCCTTTTTTTTTTTTTTTCATTAGTACCTATACAAAGATAAAGCCACAGATCGTGCAGGATAATTGAGGAATTTTGATTGCTAAGTATCAAAATTTTGAATAATTTAAGTCTATTTTAAAGCGGAAATGTTTTGGACATGTTTTGTGAAATAGACCAAAAAAAAAAAAACTTGGACTTTGATTCCAAAACAATGGAACTCTGATCCCCAAGACATACCAAAACATAGAATTTGATTTTTGATCAGTTACAAGATTTCTGATTCTCGGCCAAACCTATTGTGACTCATGATAACTGGTGTTTTCAAAGGTACCTGAGGAAGTGGTGGAACAAATAACACAAGGAAAACCGCCACCAGCAATCGTTCATGGAGTGCCAAAATCAAAAAGCACCCTTTTGGAGCTAGAAAATCAGTTCATGAAGGCCCTTAGCAAAGCATACATCAGTTTTGATGAAAACAAAAAGGAAAAAAAAGGAGTTTTCAACCTTCTGAGTGCAAAACCAGATGTTGAAAATTGCAATGGGTGGAGCTTGACAGTCACCAGGAAGCAGTTGCATACATTAAAGCATTCTGATTTTGGTATTTTCATGGTGAACTTGACCCAGGTGAGTTGTTATTAATTTATTTTCTTCCTCCTGGCCTTCTACGGTCATATTGTAGCTAAAACAAACAATTGGCCTATACACTGCAATCCAATAACTTTGATGATCATTCGAGTCATCGGAAAAGTCTCTTAAGGCACCACAAACCGAATAAGTCTCTGATTTACATGATAGAACGGCCTCAAAACAATGGGCCACTTTGAGTCCTCCAAATGGATCGGTATTGACTAATATTTTGAATGATCGTCTTTAAGAGTACTAAAAATTGTTAGATGTCATAACTTATTATTGTTTTGTCGGTGTTTTCAAAGGGATCAATGATGGGGCCGCACTGGAATCCAATGGCTACTGAGATAACAATAGTACTACAAGGGCGAGGAATGGTTCAGGTGGTTTGTCCAAGCAGTGCAAATGAAACTGAGTGCAAAAACATGAGGTTTAGGGTGGAAGAAGGTGATGTATTTGCAGTGCCAAGGTATCATCCCATGGCTCAAATGACCTTCAACAACGATACATTGGTTTTCATGGGATTCAGTACAACAACAAAGAAAAACCATCCACAATTCCTTGCTGGAAAAAGCTCAGTCCTCCGAACTTTGGACAAAAAAATCTTGGCAGCGTCCTTTAATGTTACTAATATGACAATTGATCATCTGTTGGCTTCACAGGCTGACTCAATCATTCTAGAGTGCAGATCTTGTGCTGAGGAAGAAGAAAAAATAATGGAGGAAGAAATGCAGAAGAAGAAGGAGGAAGCTAGGGAAAAAGAGGAAGAGGAGGCCAGAAAGAGGGAAGAAGAGAAGAGGCGAGAAGAGGAAGAAGCCAGAAAGAAGAAAGAGGAAGAGAAAAAGAAAGAAAAAGAAGAGGAGGAAGCCAAAGAAAAGGAAGAAGAGAAGAGGCGAGAGGAGGAGGAAGCCAAAAAGAAGGAAGAAGAGAAGAGGCGAGAGGAGGAAGAAGCCAGAAAGAGGGAAGAGGAGCAAGCCAGGGAAGAGGAAGAGAAAAAGAAAGAAATAGAAGAGGAGGAAGCCAAAAAGAAGGAAGAAGAGAAGAGGCAAGAGGAGAAAGAAGCCAGAAAGAGGGAAGAGGAGGAAGCCAGGGAAGAGGAAGAGAAAAAGAAAGAAATAGAAGAGGAAGCCAAAAAGAAGGAAGAAGAGAAGACGCGAGAGGAGGAGGAAGCAAGGGAAGAGGAAGAGAAAAGGAAAGAAAAAGAAGAGGAGGAAGCCAAAAAGAAGGAAGAAGAGAAGAGGCCAGAGGAGGAAGAAGCCAAAAAGAGGGAGGATGGAGGAGAGAAAGAAGCCCGAAAAAGGGAGGAGGAAGCCAGGAGGAGGGAAGAGCAGAGCAGAGAGGAAGAAGAAAAGGAAGCTAGGAGAACGGAAGAAGGCGAGGAAGCTAGACAGAGAGAGGAAGAGGCAGCCAAGGAAAGAGAACCAAGGGAAGGAGAAGAGTCAGACGCTTGGGAAGAAGAGCAGGAGAGGGTGGTCAACCGCGAGGGAGGGGCAAGAAAAATTTTGAAGAAAATCTGGAAGATTTGAAGAGTGTCTCCATGTGAATCAAATAATATGTTGATGGTTTTGATTTCAAAGGTACTAGTCAATGGTTTGATATGCATGTAGATGAATAAGAACTTGTGTTTGTGTTTTTTGCTTACATTTGATGTTTATTTGCGCAAACGCGGTCATCCCATGGTGCCCAGTGCCCTAGTGGTTGCATCCTAACTTCACAGCAAATGGGTGGGCACGTGACAAAGAGCCCCGTTCAAAGCATATGAAAAATTTGGTGTGCAGGGTCTCCATGTTGAAACTTCATTTGTATTTGGCATGCATCTAGATGGTCTACATACAGAATAAATATTCAGTTCTGATTAATACCCAGATAAAGAAACAAAGCTATCTAACAAAAAAAGGATTTCTCCAATGAAAGACAGCCGCTCCGCCTATTTATGGTAGGTTGACTAGAAACCACACCAACCTTCCACTACTGTATTTCAAAATTTCTGGGTTAAGGACTCCACTAGTACCAACAATTGAGATAATTGGCATAAACCTAAACCATGTAAACCAGAACCACCATTCATGCAAATCCAAATTTGCTAGATTCTGCAAGATAAACCCAACTCAATTATAATACTAGAATCCACAATCCATGCAGTCCAAATATGAACATCGACACCCATAGACTCGGAAGCTCGAGCTTGGTAAAATGAAACAACTCAGGTATACAAATCCATATCAGCAAATCATAAACTAATTTTAACAACGGTTCTAAATTTTACCAATCTCACATTCAATGCATATATACCACATACAGTGACACCCACATTACGCATTGGAGAAGAAAAGGTTTCTGGATCTTTAAGCTACGAATACATCAAATAGAAACATGAAAGGCAGCAGATGAAATAGGAAAAAGGCTCAACTGCCTAAGGTCTCAATGCCTACCTCCATTAGGGCATTAGGAAGTATTAATGTTGTCTCACCAAATGTTTCTGCTGTGCCACCGATTATTCAATACCCCATGGCCATCTGGCATCTACAGTATAGATCTCCCCCCTTCCAATTGGAGCAACTAATGCTCTGTGGTAGTCTGAATTTCACAGCTCTCTAATGTCATGAATTCCTTCCAATGGCTTTGCCGGTGAATTCTCCACCACCAAATGCTGCAGCTGCAGCAACATCAACGCCACCACTGATTGTGGTCATTAGTGCCGATAGTTCAGTTGGACCACCACCAGCAGCCATCCCCAACCCAAAAAGATCAAGGGTATGCTTGGGACCAAACACCGAGGGAGTCCCCATCATCAATTCCTTCAAACCAGACTCCCCATCACTGGGCAGCCCAAGGCCAAGCCCTGCTGCCAATGATGCATCCTCCGGCTCAATTTGTCTCCCATTCCACTCTTGCTTCCCTACAGAAGATGAAGAAGATGAGACAATTCCAAACCCCCTCAACAATGATGCATTTGTTGCTCCTGCACCCATCTGTGCGGCCTTCTGTAACAGTGCTGTTGCAGACATTGCTGGCTGTGGTGGAGGTGCGTACTGCCGACGCTCTTGCCCTGCAGTCCCAAAAATTGATGACCCTTGATTTGTTGCAAGGCAAAGAGATATGGGTTCCATAGACAACGATGGAGCCAGGCCCAGTGTGTGGTCAGGATGAGCCATGGATCGAATTAAGTTAGTAAATCCAGTTGATTGAAGCTGTGAACTTCCTGAAGTTGTTGATGAAGCAAACAAGCTTGCAAACACAGTGCTACTGGTACTTCCATGGCTGCTTGAGCTACTGTTATTGCTACAGCTTACAGCTAAGCCAGTTGCCACGGGTGTACCCTCTAACATCTGCGTAGCATTAGGATTGGGATTGGGATTGTCTGGCAATTCTGTAACAGTCGGAACAACCACAAGAAGCAAACAGAAGAAACAGAAAAGGGTTACTTATCTACAGAGACAGAGAAAGTTAAGCTTTTCTTAGTAAAAGACTGTATTTGAAGTAAAAGTAGAGTGACCAATAATAGTGTACTTTTGGCTTTTGGATCTCTTTTGATGGTTTCTTGCTTTACCAAAAGATTGCTTGAGATTGAGTCTTAATTTGGTTGAATCTTAGTTTTTAAAGCCTATCTGAGAAATTTATTTCATTCTGTAGTCCCTAAATCTAGCTCCAAATTACAAATCAGTTAAATTTTATTTCATTCTGTAGTCCCCAAGTCTAGCTCCAAATTACAAATCAGTTAAATCTTATGTACATGCAGAAAACATCAAAGATCAGTAACAGACAAAAACAGCTAAACTCCAAGATTAAGAGAGAGAAACAACAGATTCTTTTGTTCCATTGTTTAACCAAAACGCATCCGCCAAAACCCAAATCCAAAACAGCAAGATTTCCTATTTTAGATCACAATACCTGGGCTTTGAATTGACAAATCCGAAGATATCACAGCAGTTGACTGAGGAATTTCCTGTGGTGGTGCTGACGGTTGTGGTGGTGGTGGTGGTGGTGGTGGTGGTGGTGGTGCAACCGCCTGTTGTTTAGGGTCCTCATCTGCAGTTGGAGGTGCCACCACTGGCTGTGCTCTTGCAGCCTCCTCTGCTAATGCATCACAAAACGCCCTGTGTGTGATAAAGCTATCCCTCCTGTAAACCATCAACACAAAGTCCACTTCAACAACCCAAATCATATGTATATCAATTCATAACTACGGTAACAAACAAATGGAGAAAAAAGATCAAAATTAACCTTGAGAATAAAGTCCCACAATCACATCTATACTCTTTGGTTCCACAAATCTTCGAGTGAGCCTTCCAATCAGACTGAACTGCGTATTTCTTCGAACACTTGTCGCACTTCCACTTCTTCTCGCCATGTTTTCTGCAGAAATGCTTCTTGATCCCCGTGAGATCGCCCAATGCTCGCGAAGAATCGTGATGAACACAGGTTGGCTCAGGACACACATACACTCGCTTCCTTACCTCTTTACTTGACCTCTGTCTGAGCTTCCATGGAAGATTGTGACCCCTACGATGGAGCTGTAGATTCTGGTCTCGTTGAAACCCTTTATTGCAAATTTCGCATACAAATCGATTCGTGGCCATGAGAGTCTTTGGGGACAAAGCAATCACCTCCGCATCTGGATCTATAATCAAAATGAAAAAAATTATACAATTTTCGTTTCATTCAAATGTAACAAACAAAACCATTGAATAGGGTATGATTTTACCTGGCATTCCGGGGAGGTTTCGTTTCCTCTTGGTGGTTTGTATTGGAGGTAAGGTTTGATTACCGGAAGAAGAGACACTAGCTTCGCCGGAAACTGTGGAATCATTCATGGCGGATGACTTATCAAAGTCGGCCAGCATGTTCAACAAAGCAGTTCTAGTGAATTTTTGGGTGGTGAAGAAGGATAAACCTAGGTCATTTATCTTCAAAGTTTTGGCTCTTAGGGTTTCGATTCAAGCCCTCTTTCTCTATCCACCAGTCAATCTTGCCTTTTTTGTGTCCACCTACCAGCAATGATCAAATTCTGACAAATACCCAACAAAATTCTCGATTCAGAGACAGCTCTAAGCACAGTAAAACGATGAACCCAGAACTACAGTCACCGGAATCGGAGGAGATAGAGTGGAAATTTACTCTATAGAAATGAAAACCGACAAAGAGCAAGAGATTTTGCTTAAATTTCCGAGCTTCCGGACATTTCTTGTCCCTGAAATCTAGCTAGCTCCTCTGTTATTCAACTGTAGCTTGAAAGACAAGTCTCCGAAAGTTCCGATAACTCGTCGAAAATTGTCAAAGTGTGGCAAACCGATTCACACACCAGAGATCAGAGGAACGAAGGTCTCATAAGTCGGCGGCACGAAATACTAGAGAGAGGAACAGAGAATTCAGGAGAGAGAAACAAAGAGAGTTTTGCAAAAGTCTTCTGCGATGGGTGTTGACTCATCTCCTGTTACTTTTGAGAAGTACACAAATAAAAGTAACAAAGTTAAACAATAAATTAAAAATAAAACTAGTTTGATCAAGTGTTTTTAACTGTGGTTAGTTTTTAACTAGAGCGACTTACTAGAGTTACAAGGTGACAACCTTAGACCTTGACCAAGTTTCTAACAATAGACAGTGTCGGGAAAAATTAGGTAGTATAGTATAGCATGAAAATTGCAAAATGAAAGTGAAATCTACTTGAGTGAATTTTGTTATTAATTGTATTCACACATAGACCCAGCAAAACATGTGCTTTTATCGTAGAAGACAAATGTATTTTCTTACTAAAATTTGTCGTTTTTCCTTTCTTTTAATACAATATATTAGCACGATTATAACTCAAAACAAAACTAATGAACTAAAAATTCAATCTACTAACAACAAATCAATAGTCATTTTGATTCGATCGGAAAATAGATTAGTCAAAATGTGCATAAGGTAATATAGATATCTTTGACCGTTAAACCCAAAAAAAAAAAAAATAATAGGATTTAAGAGTTTTAAGAGCATAAGGTTTAAGATTTATGCTTGAAAAAGTGCATAATAAGTCACACTATCACTATAGTTTAACATTAAACACCTTACATTCTTATATTTTCGATTAGAAAGCATTTAATTACACAAATTTCTAAATTTGTATCATACATAGATTATTTATTTTCTCAGCCACTTTGGCTTTTTTGGCATTTGTCTTTACATCAATTTTACAGTATCATCACTAAATTTGGAAAAAAGGGCCAGGACCATCGCCATCTGCTTTAAATAATACTACTACCTTACTCTGCTAGCTTATCTTAGAACATCTCCGATAAGAAAAGTTAGTTTAATTTTTCTAAAAGATATATTTTTTATTGTAACTATTTACTATTTTAATATACACTCTAACAAATTTTTAATATTTTTAATTATTTCTTTGAAATATTATTTCTTATTCTTTTTGTATTATTTTTTTTTTTGAAGAAGTGAAAGGGAAGAGAGAGAATGAAGAAAAAGGAAAAGAAGAAAGAGAAAAAAAATATTATAAAGTGCTTATACGTGGTACTGTAATAACACTCTAAATAATGATTGTCACGTACCAAAATATTATTTATAATATTTTGTTGGAGTAAAATTTTATGATAAAAAATAATTAAATTTCAAAATTTTTGTGTGCTTTAGTTACCAGAGATGTTCAGCTTTGACCCACTTACAGATTCGAGAGTAGCGTTGTTGAAAATAAAATTGACATCTCATTCTCGTAAAAGGGCTCAGAAGATTTAAAAGTAGGAACCCAGAAAGTATATGACTTTTCAATTCAATGGACCACCGGTTACCAAAAGAAAAAAATAAAAAATAAAAGGCAGAGCAGAGCAGAGGGCTACCTCTGTAAATCGGATTCAAATCCTCTTCTCATACACTTTTTTCCCTCAATTTCTTTCTTGTCAGATCATCCATCTTTAATCAGTAAAAAATTTACTTGTATACAATAAATCTCATTTAAATACATGATATAGATAATATGTTAAGAAAGAAATTAAATAAAAATATATATTAAAAGAAATCTCACCGACCGCTGCATTTCATGAAGGGACAAACGCTCCTGCAGAACCAGCAAACAATAAGAGTCTTAAAGATCAGTACAGGGGTAACACATCAATGAAAACGACTGAGAACCAATTCAAGTTTGAAACGGCTCTTCAATGCCGTCTTGGGTTTTTTTTAATGCCATTCCTTGATTTGTTCTCGAAAAAAAACACACAGACACACACAAATAAATAACACTGCCATTTGTTATTGCATTGCACAAGTTCCTTCCCATATCATATATATAATAAAGTAGTTATGAATATTTGTCCTGAATTTTTCGCGACTCAGAATACTTCATAATTTTTAATCTAATGGTCTTCATCATAGCCATTTTAAAAAAAAATCTTATCTGCCGAAACTCCTCCTCTAACTCTTTCTCATTTTTAAAAACAAATAACCTATCTAATCCTATCTGACCAGACTCCTCTTCTAACTCTTTCTCATTTTTAAAAATAAATAACCTATCTAATCTTATCTATCGAGACTCCTCCTCTGACTCTCTCTCATTTTTAAAAACAAATAACTTATCTAATCCCTTATCTTAATTGCTAACTCACCCACAAACCTCCGACAAGTCTAACTATCTCACGATCCCCCTCTCTCTCCCATTCCTCTCTGTCTCTACCTTGCCCCTACAACACACAGTACACCGGAATAACACCCACTGCAACAAGCAACACCAGGAGTCCAGGTATTCTGGATTTTTTGTGTGAGTGTGTATTCTGAGTTTATTGTGTCTTTGTGTTCTGGCTTTCTTAAATTTTCTCCCTCTCTCTCTATATCGCTCGCTCTTTCTCTGTGTTATGGGTTTTTTGTGTGTGTTGTGCCTGTGTGTTCATTTTCTGCCTCCTGTGAATTGTGCTTAATCGAACTTTGTGAACTTTGTATTATCGAAGCAGTTTGCCGATATCTGACAGCAACTCGATTTTGTACAATGCAGTCTGTTATTTTTATTAAGTATTTCTGAATTTGGTTTTGGAACAGCATCTTCGCCTTCTCACAGAACTGCCTCTTGGTGGATTGCTCTCCCATTTCGATTATTAAAACCCTGCGAGAGAGGGGTATATATGTGTGAGAGTAAATAAGTAGACCAAAAATAGAGACAATAAACTTATTATGAATGCAAATTATACCTTTCTATAAAAATTGGCTAGACCCACATCCTATTCTTCCCTCACCGGAAGAAAAGCTTCAAATGGCCCCAATCTGTGTATACATGCAAATATATAGATATTCATATGCATTTATATTCTGGAGAGAGAGAGAGAGAGAGAGAAAAGGAGTAACCAGTGATCATAGACTAGGGATTGACATTTCCATGGTGTGAAATAATCCTCGGAGAATTGGAGATTATGAAATGATCCAATAGGACACATGGCTTTATGAGTATTGAGATTGTTCAATATTGATCCCAGAGAGCGGTGGAACAAAGAACATCCATGGTGGCAAGCCAGAGACAGAGGGGAGACGGCAACAGTCTGAGAAAGAGGGAACTCAAAGGACAAAAATAGTTTTATAGGCCTCATATTTAAGAAAATTTTATTTTACAGAAATTTTTATTCCCCAGTCTCTCATTTGAATTTAGTTCAGGAATATCAATCGATTGGCATTTAATTTTTTTGAATTTAAATTTTGTATTAAATTTTGGATTTAAATATGATTTATATTAATCTAATCACCATCACCATTTTTTTGTGAGTGAATGTTATGTGTTAAATGTTTATTGTTATTTTCAGTACTTTTTTATTCAAAATTTACAGTTTTGACATGATTTTATTATTGTTAAATGTTAAGTGTGAAATAGGCTATTGTTATTTTTAGTACTTTTTAGTCATACATTTGTATGATTTTATAGAAGAAAAAATATTTAAATGTTAAAAAAAATTTATAGACATTCAAAACCAAACTAATCACAAAAATCCAAAAATTCAAAACCAAACTAATCACCAATAAAAAAATAATAAGTGATACCAATTGCACAAAAAAAAAAAATTCAAAACCAAGCTAATTGCCAATAAAAATAAATAAATGAAACCAATTGCACCAAAAAATAATATTCAAAACCAACTATAAATTTTTTTTCCAAGTCGTAGACATTCAACTAAAGCTAATCACTAATAAAAAAAATGACAAAGTTAAATATTTGAGTAATTTTATAGGAAGAAAAAAAATTTGAATGCTAAAAAAAAAAATTTCCAATTGTAGACATGCAAAGTCAAGTTGCACCATAAAAAAAAAATCAAAGTCAAGTTAATCACCAATAAAAAATAATAATAAGTGATATCAATTGCATTAAAAAAACAAAAAAAAAAAAATTCAAAGCCCAAGCTAATAGCAATAAAAAAATAATAAGTAATTGAATTTATAATTATATTGTGTTATTTGGTTGAATGGTGATAAATTCATACGCCTTATAAATGAGTAAGATTTTACATTACTTAAAAATTATAAATGTTATTAGATTTCATTAGTATTTTTTTTCCCGATGTATTGTATATGTGATATTGTTTTGGGAAATTTTTTTTATACATTTTTGGGATAGTTCTATTAATATGAAAGATATAATCGACAATATATTGTGGGTTATTTTAAAAGAATTGATATGAATGTTTTTGACCCACTTTCTTTTTTAAGATAGACAATTATTCGTGATTTTTTATGGGTTATATAGTGCATTTAG